AGTAGCGAGCAGTTAGACCACGGGGTGCTTGTGGTGGGCTATGGCACCACTGCTGACACCAAAGAGGACTATTGGATTGTGAAGAACTCGTGGGGCACCCAATGGGGTGACGGCGGGTATATCAAGATGTCCCGCAATAAGAGCAATCAGTGCGGTATCGCCACGTCCGCCTCTTACCCCCTGGTGTAGATGTCTGTCCACACATTTCGCACCTCCTGTATATCATATAACTATAATTTCATAGCCCTGAACACTACAAACACCTGACCCCCAAGTCACCACATCCCTGTCTATATCTATATTAAGGTCATAATTATGATTATATTTCTGTAATGAATATGAAGTGATATTTTAGATACGATTTGATAATTATCTTATGATTTGTCTTTTAAATGAAACTTATGTTTAATTATGTTCACGATATCCCTGCTTACAGTATGGGTCTGAAAAATAGTCACAATTTTAAATCTGATTTATTTTCATTGCTATTCAACTTTTTTATAATTAATTAAATTTCGTTTTTAATGTATAAATTCAAAAGGTTTTGTCCACTCTTTTCAACTTTTTTTCTCTCAATTATTAACTCATTTTGTGATTAATTTGTTTGATTTTTTGGTCACAATTTGTCGCGTGTTTTCTCCCAAAGCAATAAAATCTTTGAACTATATTTACAATTAAACAAAACTCAATACATTTTATTATTATAACTACAAATAGAAATTGATTTTAGCTATAAATCGTTTTATACATGCTTTGATACCAAATATGTGTATAAAATATAATTATATTAATACAATTTATAAATAAATAAATATTTAATTTTTACAAACTTGTAATTAATTTTTAACAAGATTTATCGTGCTAAACATAATTCATATTATTTCAATTATAGACTAGTGATACAATTACTATGAATAGACATTTCATTAATTGAGTCAAAACAAAATTCTTGAATAATGAATCACAAGTTAGTAATAAAATATAAACTTACTTATCAAATTATGCACAACCAGGGCACTAATTAAATGAATCGTTGAGATCACATTTAAATGACTAATAACTTGTTAAAAATTAAATTTCAATATATCAATTCTCAATAGTTGTATCAATACCTACTCTATTGATTTCTAAGTCTTGTTATTAAGACTTGTTTGATTAATAAGTAGCTATAAATACCTGGACATATGAGAATTTGAACTTTAAAACCACTTTTTACAAAATTTTATATAAATAATATTATATATATTAAATGAGACACATAAATAAATATAATTTACATATAAACTTAATCATTGAATATAAATATTTGGTTATTCATTACATTTATCATATTTTAATGTGTGATTAAATGAATTTCAATTTATAGATAATTTTTGGAAAGGCTACTACAAAACTGCAATTCTCATATTAACCACATACAGTAATTCCTTATTGTACCAAGTTCAAACTTACTGTTTTGAAAAGTCGTCTAAAAATGCGATTCCTATTACCGGCACTGGTATTCATCATCATCGCACTGGTAGCTGGCGTTGAGTCCTCAGCTCTGACCTATAAAGAGGTGGTCGTCGAGGAATGGGAGACATTTAAGGCCCGCCATAGCAAGCAATACACTGACAAGTCTGAGGAGAACTTTAGGCTAAAGGTATTCATGGAGAATAAGCAACGGATCGCCAAACATAACAAACGGGCCGCCAATGGACTCCATGGCTTCACTCTGGCTATGAACGAGTTCGGAGACCTACTGTCCCACGAGTTCGTGTCAGTTATGAATGGCTTCAAGAGGTCATACAAACTGGACTCTTATAACGGCTCCACATACCTGTCCCCTAACAACG